ATCTTCTGCTCCTGGTACCAATTAAAGACACAAATATAAGTTTCAGATGAATTGAGATCCAGGAGGGGTATGGAGCGCCAACAAACTATAGCAACTCTACCTCCCTGAAAATTGAGTATATACTGATGTTGTGCTGAGAACCTGGAAAATCTTGGCTAGCGCTGTCCAACTCCACCGTCTTGTCCAATTAGGTCTTGGTGATACACACAGGTTGGCTTCCTTGTCCAACATTTAGATGTGGATGGCTGTTGTTTTATTCTGGATTCAACATCAAAATCTGTAGGCTTGATGATGGTCTGGTCTGTCAGCCATTATGTCCTAGAAATGGACTGTAAGGAAGAACAGCTTTCAGTTATATGAACCCACTTCCCCTTTTCCTGATGTGTCATCATGCCACTTCCATGTCTTCCACTGCCTCAATGGAATAAGTTGGGCCACCCAGAACTCCCCCTTCCTGTAATACTAATTCTATTCAGGGACATGCACAAGCAACAGAAAAGGCCTAGACTGAAACCAACAGTTTCAAAATGTAAGGCAAATTTAAGACATCTTCCTTCCTGCTCTTGCAGTACAGCTCCTTCAGCTTCCATGTGATTATTAGGTTGTTCAGAATGCATAAAACCTGGTGACATTCAAATGAGCATGAATGGCACCATTGCCTTGAACTTATAATATCAGCCTCTGCTAGGGTTGCCAAGTCCGGGAGCCATCTGTCAAAGTGCGTGCGCATGCCACCAGCACGTCACTGGAAGTGATGCGTGACGTCGATCACGTTGAGGGCGTGGCCCCGATCATCGGAGGGAAAACCATAGAGTTTTCCCTCCAACGATCGGGGCCACGCTGTGCTTCGGGGCGCAGAGTTCCCCCCAGGGCCTGATTCTGCAGCAGCGGGAATTGGACCTCTGAAGCGGGGGTTTACCCGCCCCCCCGCCTCCACTTGGCAGCCCTAGCCTCTGCATGGATATAGATTTGCTCATAGAAACTAAAATGCCTGATGTCTGAACTTAGGAAGTAAGCAAGAATATATATTTATACCAATGGAACATGGTCATCTAGTTGCCTGCAGTTGCTGTAGGAGTGAATGTAGCCTTGTAAGTGTGTTCTCCATCTTCTGTTTTTGAATAAGTTCTTGCCCATCATTCCATTTAGAAGAAGAAGAGATTGGATTTATACCCTGCCCTTCACTCAGAGTCTCAAAGTAGCTTACAATCTCCTTCCCTTCCTCTCCCCACAACAGACACCCTGTGAGGTAGGTGGGGCTGAGAGAGCTCTGAGAAAACTGCTCTTGAGAGAATAGCTCTGAGAGAACTTGTGACTGACCCAAGGTCACCCAGCAGCTGCATGTGGAGGAGTGGGGAATCAAACACGGTTCTCCAGATTACAGTCCACCACTCTTAACCACTATGCCAAACTGGCTTATAGATATTCTTCCCTCTTGCCCAGCCATGATCAAGAATACTCACTCAGATATGCATATCTGCAAACATGCAGTACAGTCTGATGAAGGGGAACCCATATAAGATACCTGCCAGAATTGGAAGTTCATTAATTTTAGACTAAGTAACTGAAATACCTGTTGCTCTGGTGTGCTCACTCAACTCCTTATGCTGAGTTATCATCTCTGTGCCAAGGGCACCCCCATTTTCTCACCTTTTTCTTGCCATCTTCCTTGGGAAACGGGGCCTGGAGCAGGGAGAGATAGCATGTTTCCCAGTACAGAACTGACAAGGTGAGAAAGTGTCAAGTAGGCCAAAACCCTGAAGACCATTCTTTCTGCTTTATATGCAAAGAAGTGCATGGAAGCAGCTGTTGTTGTCACTGCTTTGGGGCCTAGGAAGTGTGTGAGAGAGAAGCCTCTGTGGGAAACACATTGTCCTTTCCAAAACATTTGCCTGTTCATTGGCATTCATGGGAATGAGAGTTTGCTACTTTCACAACTGTTTATATTTAAGAAGCACAGCTGGAAAAACTATCAGTGCTCATACCCATTGTGTGAATAAGGCATGATCCTGCATGATTTGTAATCAGCTAACCAATGTGATACAGTGGTTCAGGCATCAGGATAGGCAGGGGGAGGTCTGGGTTCAAATCCCAACTGAGCCATGAAGCTCACTGGATAACTTCATGCCAGTGACATGCTCCTAATTGAACCTACCTCACTGAGTAACTTGTAACTTGCTCTGCGGGAGGAAAGTATTCTGCTATCTCTGTGTTTCCTCTGAAAGAAGCATATAGTGGCTTTGATGGAGGGAGGAATGAGTCAGTAGCACACTTCTTTATCACCCAGAGCCAAGGGTGCATGTGTGCACTTGTTAAGGAGGAAGAGAAGAGGCAGATAGGAAAGGATGCTGGTGCTGTGGTTTTTTCATCCAGAGCAAAGCTGTGTGCATGTGCGTGCACTCATCTTTCACATGGAGAAAGAGGAGAGAAGCTGATGATATAGGAAAGGAAAGGATAAGAAAGTAATTTCAGCAGCAGTGCTGGAGGAGGGAAGGAGGGCTACTTTTAATTGCATGGAGAGTAACTGGTCACTCTGAGTGACCTTCTGGCCATCCCTGAACTAGAACATTAGACAGAGGTCTGTTCTGCTGGGCATATCTATAATGCAAACCTAAACTCAATTAATTGTCATACTTCATATAGTAGTGCTAAAATAGCTAATTTGGCTGAAAATATGATGTTAGTAATTTTTTCCTACTTGTTTTAACATCATCTGGATTTGCAGTGACCCCCAAGGCATTAGGATAAGCCTAATGACAAAAAGCTATAAAAAGTACGAATGGCTAAGATTAGAGATTCTTTGGCAAGGGGAGGGGTAGTACAGTCTCCAACTGTTACACTGTTCTCAGTTCATTAAGTCAGTAGGTTTAAATGGGTGAAATTCTTTTAAGTATTTTATCTGAAGAACTGAGGTCCTGTCCATACGAGGCCTTTTGGGCCGGGAGCGGGATGGAACGGGGGCGGAGCAAACGGGCACGATCCCACGGCAACATCTGGGAATTGTTGCCTGCCCGTCCCTGTTCCGTCCCAAACAGCGATACCGCGCTGTATCCCTTCCAGCGCCGCAAGCCGGGCCATGGGATCGGGTGGCGCGTCCTTGCGCCGCTGCATCCCGGCCCCCGGCCGTACTGCGCATGCTTGAGCATGCGCAGTTCGGCAGCCTCCCCCTCCCATCGGACTTTCCTCCCTGGCATCTGATCGTGTCGGGGAGTGATGCGCCGTGGCTGAGGGGATCCATGGGATCCCGCCGCGGCGTCTCAAGTTTGGTGCGGCTCTGCTTAGCCGCGTTTCAGCCGTCCCGTGTGGCAGCAGCCTGAGTCTCACAAAAGCTCATACTGCAATAAATGTTGTTAGTCTTTTAAGTGCTACTGGACTTCTATTTCATGTTACGTAAAACTGATACATTGAATCCTTTTGCCTGAAGGTGTGATTTCATTGTTCATTATATTTACTATATAAGGAGAACATCCTTTCCCTAATAGTATATGGCACAGGATATTAGTACTCTCTGTTGTGATATACTACGTTAGGGTATCTGTAAAAAACTTAGGGCTAGAAGATGAATTATGACATTGAATTGCCTGCTTGAATCCAAGTCGTTGGATCCTTTTTGCAGTAGGTGTGATGGACAAGGCAGAAGCTATGAGCGCTTAGGGTATGTGGTTTTGATCATGACTCAAGGGCCTTTAATCTCTGTTTTTCTTGTAATACCAGTAAATTATTACTAAAGGCTACTGACCTGGGTATTCATGCAAAGGAATGCAAGAAGGGCAGCTGTTGAAACATGAGCTATTGTTTAAGGAACTGGGAGGTTATTGCCTTGGCAGGGTCTTCAGTTTCATATCGTATGTTGTTAATTTGGTGTCCATTAATGCATAAAAGTGTATAGTAATATGTGCATATGAAAGTTGTGTGTCTACAGATATATGTACTATATACGTTCATGTACCAAAAAGCCACTGTGTAACATGTGAAGTATTCTTTTGGGCATACCTCAATCCCAGTTTCCCATCACATCATGCTGAACCAGAAGTGTAGAATGTAGAACCTGCAAAACCAGATATGTTGATATGTAACCTACAGGTAATGGAGAGCAAGAACAAGGGTGAGAGTCTGCCTTATCCCATTCTGCATCTAGCATTCGCCCCATTGTTTTACCAAACCCACACCAGAACAGAAAAAGATGTGGCTCAAAACCACATTCATATATCCCGGGCCAATGCTGTACTGACTGCAGAGTCACCCCTGAACAGCCATAAAACAGCCACAAACCTATGCAGACAGTACCATAAAACCGAGAGATCAAAGGAAGATCAAAGTGCAGTGTGGAGGCTATAATAAAATCTGACAATCAAAGAAAGTGAAAGTGGCATGCAATGTAGAGAGGAATTTCTGTTCCCATGTGGGTTTGGTAAAACAGCAGAGCGAATGCTAGATGCAGAATGGGCTTCAGTACACCTGCCACACTTCCAGTGCCTCTAATCACCGAAACAGGGCATAAAGTTCAAATCAGTTGTCCAAGTTCATATTCTTAGTTCCTAGATTTGTTCTGGAAATGAACATGCAAGCTAAGACTAAGACAACATTTGCATGACCTTTCCTGCTTCCCACATCATCTTATTCAGTCTGTGTACTAAATTGTGTGGAATTTTGACAGCAAACTCTTGTTATGCCCTCTCTGGAATAGCTGATACTTGTGAAGACCCCTAGAATTCTTCTGGTGTTAGGACTTGTCAGACATTTGGAAATGTAAAGGCAAGCATTGTCAAGGTTCTGTACCTGTTCCTTTTCTGCTAACAGGCTGTGCTGTGCCACTCAAACACAGCTTGAAATGAAATACTGAGGGACATACTGGGCTAGTGTTGATAACAGAAGACACCTTTGAATATGTGTGGAAATTGCATGTGTTGCAGAAAGTGGACTAAGCAAAACCTTATTCAGGATGGGTGTTGGTGTACTCGGCCACTCAAAGTTAACATTTCTCTTTCCTTCTGCTTCAGGGTGGAAAGATTCCAGTGAGGTGGACAGCTCCAGAGGCCATTGCCTACCGCAAATTCACTTCTGCCAGCGATGTATGGAGTTATGGCATTGTCATGTGGGAAGTAATGTCCTTTGGGGAAAGACCGTATTGGGACATGTCTAATCAAGATGTGAGTGGTGTGAATCTTGCCTTAGAATACAGCAATCATATATTTGCATTTTGGTGTGGAGGACAAAGACTCAAGTATTACAATTACATTTCCAGGAAGAGTCACTTGAATATCATTACTAACTCCATTCTGAATTCCCCCCCCCACACACACTAAAATTGTCTGTATGAAAAAGGTCAAGCACATGTGTGTATTTCTTCTGGAATAATATTCTCTTTCTGCTTAGGAGTGGTCTGATCTAGTAAATGGAAGATAGTTTTACAGTCCCACAAACATATGCACTTTGTCCTCTAGCAAAAATTTGCATATGGTACTGTCCTTACTGATCTGGGGTCTCCCATCATAAAAGTACAAGGTAGTATAAGATGAGCCCTGCTGTATCACACTGAGGATTCATTTAGAAGAAGAAGAAAAGTTGGATTTATACCCAGCTCTTCACTTGGAGTCTTAGGGTGGCTTATAATTTCCTTCCCTTCCTCTCCTCTGAGAGGGGCAGAGAGAGCTCTTAGAGAACTGCTCTTGAGAGAACACCTCTGAGGGAACTGTAACTGACCCAAGGTCACCCAAATCAAACCCGGTTCTCCAGATTAGAGTCTGCCGCTCTTGACCACTACACCAAACTGGTTCTCCAGCATATTGTTCAAACAGCCAGTCAGATGCCTATGGTCAGCTCCAAAGTAATCAAGGAAGGAAACAGTATTCCCTTGTTTTATCTTTCTGGCATATAAACAACTATATATTTTGTTATTATTTATGTCTTTTACCATGTGATTTTTGCCACATGCTCCCCTTTATGCCTCCTGTTCCTTATTCTGTTCTCAGTCTGAGGGCATAGAATGTTTCAATTGATTCTGAGATGATTCTTAGAAACTCTTTGCTCCTCCCTGCCCCCCATAAATAAATAAATTTAAAAGTTGCTGTGTGAAGTTTTTGATTTGAGGTGGGACTGTGCTCAGTTTCTACATAACGTTTGCAGAGGGAAGTTTCCTGGTGGTGAAAAGTTTCACACTGAAAACAATTCTTTCTGCTGTCTTTTCTGAATCAGCAAACCTTGTTGCCCCAATCAATAGGTTCCATCTTAAATAAATAAATAAATAAAATTTTAAAAAATCACGGAAAGGGAGGTGTTTCATGAGGGAAGAGAGATTAAGCTTTTCACAAAACACATCTCTCCCCATTTAAATTCAGCCCGAATTTCGAAGTCTACTTCCATACTGGTTCAAGAGGAGACCATTAATTCTGTGCTGACTCATATTCTTATGAAACGTGCCTAGGAAATCTAAAATATTTCAGCATCACAGCTCTGCCTCTCTAGGGACTTTATCAGGTGTCAGGAAAGTTGGGGGTAAGAACGAAGGGGGCCATGCCTGCAGTACTAGATACCACTATGTTGTCTGAACATAGTTTAAATCCAGGGTGGGGGGATCAATGACACCGGATCAAAACGTCTGTCTGGCCGCACCCTAGGTGTGTGAAACAGACAGCATTTTTGAAGTTCTGGACTAAGTAGCAATAGAGATATATGGATATATTTTCCAGTGTTATTGGTGCCTATAACCATTTATTTCTTCCCTGTGCTGCCATCCTAACTAAACAACATGTGATGTCCATGTCCTTTGTAATGGATAGGCAACTGACCACATGGCCCATCACAAACCTATTTCTCTAAGTTCCTAATGACTGAAAGTTCCAACATACTATGAGGTCCTCATCTCTGTCCTCCCAATAGATATATCATTGGAGCTGGATGATGAACAGGTATCACCTGAGTCCCCTCTAAGGCATTGTTTCCAGCTTTCCAAGTATGATGTTGCCCTGCTCCAAGACTTTTCTTCCCCACAACACTGAGGAGCTTTCCTCACAGAAGTGGGGTCTCTCTTGAAAGTACTTTCCCCCCTCTTCTTGTAAGTTTATTTTAGTATGTTGTTCTCTGCCTCTCTGACCTTCTTCAGAACAACCATATTAGCCCTCAGGGAATTAATTTGTTTCCTGGGACCCAGGAGCACATTTCACTTCACCTAGCATAGAGATAACTACATAGCACTCTGGATTTCCCGTATACTCCTGCACATATTTTTCTTTCTGTCACTCTATTATAAATTTGTTTCTGTTTGGTATAGATAAGTTTTTGTTTGTTAATGTAGTAGACTGCTGTGAGGCTGAAGGCAAGTTGCGTGGATTCAGAATCTGCCATTAGTCCACTGGTCGTCTCTTTCTATAGTCAGACTCTGATATTACCTACTTAGCATGCTCTGGACTGGCTCTTATGCTCTTGTTGTTGAAGCTTTCTGTTCAAAGATGAGTTCTTGCAGATAATCTTTAAATATAGGTTGGTTACCATATAGCCTCTCTGTCCTGTGTCCTGTTGCAGCCAGTTATATTGAGCTTTTCTTCTAAAAAAGGAGCACAGCATTCCAATCCTAGGGATGCTCAGTCCATATTCATATAGTGAGGGATTTCTTTGCAGTCCCTGTCTAATTCTGCTAACCTGCAGGCTGTATTTTACACATGTGAAGCTGCCTTATATAGAATCAGACCATCAGTCCATCAAGTTCAGTATTGTCTCCTCAGAGTGGGAGCGGCTCTCAGGCAGAGGGCTTTCATGTCACCTACTGTCTTGTCCTTTTTTAACTGGAGATGCTGGGGATTGAACCTGAGAGCTACTGCATGCAAAGCAGAGACTCTTCCACTGAGTCACAGCCCCTCCCCAGTGATGCAAAGTGATACTGGTATAATGAACACGTGGAGCTGCCTTTGGTTTGTCATGGTCAGTACTGCCTTCTCTAACTGGCAACATCTCTACAAGGTCACAAGTTAATGTCTTTTACATCATCTACTACCTGAACCTTTTAACTGGAGATCAAATTGCATGCAATTAAAAGGACCAGGCAATGTTTGATGTGAAATTCCTCTGCCTGAGATCCTGGAGAGCTGCTTCCCATTTGAGTAGACATACTGACCTTGATGGACCCATGGTCTTATTCAGTATAAATCAGCTTTATGTGTAAAGCAGTTACTATCCCAATGAGCCATGGCTCCACCCCACGTTCCTGAGTTAATGTTACCTCAGAACCCCTTCCGCAGGGGTGAAAAAAGGTGCTGAATAGGAAGGTGGGACTTATCCTTTTCTCTCCAGCGGTTTAGAAAGGGAAGAGGATACTGTTGTCCACTCAGGGACATAGGACCAGCACAGT